GAGAGACCCTGTCTCTAAATAAAATACAAAACAATAGGGCTGAGGATGTGGCTCAGTGGTCGAGTACCCCTGAGTTCAATCCCTCGTACCCTCCCCCCAAAAAAAGGATACCTGTGGATTGGCAGCAAAATGGGTGAAGTAAGATTTAAGCGTGAGACAGCTGTAAGAAATAAAGCATATAGACTTATTTCTGGCTGCCTTAATAGGAGAATAATGTCCTGAATGGACAGGCAGAAGCTGGGAAGACCCCACAGGTAAGATCCTCCCTTCTGAATTCCAGAAAAAATCCAGGTCAGCAGGGGAGTGGAAACCCATGTTTTATGGCTTTAAAAGGCAGCTGGGGTGTTTAGACAGGAAAGAGACTTTGGGGAACTCAGACTTAGCAAAATGTCCTGTGGAAGGGGATTAGACCATTTCTGGAGACCCCACAGGGCTGGAGTGAGATTAACATGTAGTCATCGCCTAGACACCTAGAAGCTCTGCGTAGGGGAGAACTGTCCAACAGTCCGTCAGTGCTGTCTACCCCACACTGTCAGGTGCTATTGCCGTGGAGAGCGCCACGGAGCCAAGCCTGCAGAAAGACAAACCTACACTCCTGCAGGATAGTGGAGAGACAATGTCAGGCCCCCTGAAGAGGGCCAGCAGGGCGATTTCTTGCCTGTGGAGAATCTGTTAGTCTCAACCTCAGGGTCTAAGAAGTGTTGATCCCTTTGATGAAGTGGTGGCTGTATCCGGGATGACGGGCCTGGTGGAGGGCAGCTGTACCTCAGGGTCTCATTTGTAAATAGCTAGTTGCACCTGCCTATGGTCTGTGTGTGTGAGTTATTAGGATTCACATTGATTTATTTTATCAAGTAAATACATTAAAAACAAAACAGTAGTACAGTCCAACTACCATCTATTATCACTATCAATATATAATGAAAGAAGATCCTAACACAGAAACATAGGGAGAACACAATCCGGGAGCTATCAGTAAGTGTAAGTGCGTGTGTCTCTGTGTGTGTGTCATATTATTTAAGACAAATTAACAGTTCTTCACGGACCCAGATTAGCAGTGCATGAGAGTTACTGTCTTATAGTGCCTGTTTAGTATCTCCTGCCGGTTGTCTTAATTACCTTAACTTAAAAATCATCTCAACTTAAAAATCACTCCTTATATGGTTCCAAGCAGAGTTTGGAGGTAATTCCCAGTTATCTTAAAAGTGTTCTGTGTATAGATTGTTCTGGCCCTGCAGGCCTCTCCTGATCTGGGTTTTCTCTGGCTTCTACAGTTCAACCAAACTGGAACTCAGAAGCAAGGACATTACACATGGGGTCTGCCAGTTCCTGCATGTCATTCAGGACATCATTCTCCTACTGTTATAGCCAGAAATCAGACTAGATATACATTAAGCGATTATTCCTCTTTCCCACCACCCACCACTCCTAGTAACTTGTCAATTTGCTTTCTGTCTCTGTGAATTGCCTGTTCTGGACATTGCAAATGGTTAGAATCACACAATGTATATGACCTTTTGTGTCTGGCTTCTTTCGTTTAATATCTTTGAGATACATCTGTGTTGTAGCACATGTCATGCTTCATTCTTCTTTGTGACTAAATAATACATCTTCGTATATATAAGCCACTATAAGCCACAGTTTTGTTTGGTCCATTGATGGGGATTTGGATATTTACATCTTTTGTGTGTGTGTGTAGTACTGGGGATTAAGCCCAGGGTTGTTCTGCCACTGAGCTACATCCCCAACCCTCTTTATTTATTTGTTTGTTTGTTTTTATTTTCTTTAATTGTAGATGGACACAATACCTTTATTCTATATATTGATTTTTATGGGTTGCTGAGGATCAGACCCAGTTCCTCACACATGCAAGGTGAGTGCTCCATCACAGAGCCACAACCCTGCCAGCCCTTATTTTTTATTTTGAAACAAGGTCTCACAAAGTTGCCCAGGCTGGCTATGAATATGCTGTCCTTCTGCCTCAGCCTCCCAGTTAGCTGGGATTGCAGGCATGTGCCACCATGCCCAGCTCATCTTAACCATTCACATTGTTATGCCACTATTGCTACAAGTCTCCCAATTCTGCAGCCTGCAAAACTGAAAAACTGTTTCTGTTTAAAAATAACTCTTCACTCCTCCTTCCTCCAACTCCTAGAACCACCATTCTATTTTCCATTTATGAATTTGATTACTCTAGGTACCTCATATCAGTGGAATAATGCAGCGTTTGTCCTTTTGTGACTGGCTTATTTCACTTAGCAAAACTTCCTCAAGGTTCATCCATGTTGTAGCATGTATCAGGAATTCCTTCCTTTTTAAGGCTGAATAACATACATACACACATACATACATACATACATACACACCATATTTTGTTTATCCACGCATCCATTGATAGATCCTTGGGTTGCTTCTATCTTTTGGCTATTGTGAATAATGCTGCTATCATCGTGGGTTCACAAATATCTGTTTAAGACACTGCTTTCAATTCTTTTCGGTATAGACCCAGAAGTGGAATTGGCAGATCATGTGGTAATTCTAAAAGATTTTTTTAAATTTTTTGAGGAATGACCATACCATTTTTCATAGTGGCCATACCATTTTTTCATTCAAAGAAGAGTACATAAGCACTCCAGTTTCTCCACATCCTCATCATCAGCTCTTGTTCTTTTCTCTTTTTTTTTAATTACTAGAGATTGAACTCAGGGGCATTTTACCACAGAGCTACATCCACATGTCCACAATCCCTTTTTTTTTTTTTAGATAGGGTCTCACTGAGTTGCTGAGGCCAGCCTAGAACTTATGATCCTGTTGCCTCTGTCTCCCAAGTTACTGGGATTATGGATGTGTACTGTTCTAGTGTGCATGAGGTAGTACCTCTTTGTGGTTTGATCTGCTTTTCCCTAATAACTAGTGAAATGGAACATCTATTCATATGCTCTTATTGCCCATTTTTATATCTTCTTTGGAGAAATTTCTATTCAAGTCCTTTGTGCATTTTTAATTGGGTTGCCCTTGCCTGTTTTTGTATTTGAGTTATGCTTCTAAATTTGCTGCTCCTCAGAAGCCAGAATAGTGTATGCATCTTATTATCTTAAACCACCTGTTTGCTGAGAACCTAAGCCATCTACTTACTCCTTGGGCACCTGAGGTACGGAGAGAGAACAGGGCCAAGAAAGGCAGGCCGGAGAGCTCTGGCAGAGCTGGCCCAAGGGAAATATGCCCACCTCTGTCCTCCAGGTCCTCCTGGAACTTTCAGTAGAGGTACTAGGAAAGCTGTTCATGTTTGGCTCTGGAAAGACAGGCTTCCAGGACCGAAGGCCTGCCCTTTCATCTGTGTTTCTTTTAAGCATTGCAACATCCACCAGGCTTCTACTTGACAGTCCCCTGGGTTGGGAAAATGTGCCCAGTAGCCCTGGCTGGCCTAGGGCCTGGAGGACAGGCTCACAGCCTAACCCACAGGAGCAGACTATCTCCAGTCAAAGCTGTAAATGACTGAGAAAGCAGTGCTGGGCACTTCTTCCAGCGGGGCTCACACCCCCTCACCCACACTGACTCGGTTCCAGGAAATGGGATGGTGGACACTGACCAGCACAGCTCCCTCTCAGTCAGAAATTGATTAATTCTCCCTAATTCTGGGAAGAAGCTCTCTCTAAAACAGTGGAAAACGAAGCCAAGAACCCAGAGGTCCAAAGTCATAATTCTCCCGTGGGAGACTCACCATCTGTGGCTTTGGTTACGTTGTCCTGCTGCTGAGAGGACAGTCCCACAGGGCCTGCCTCACAAGGCAGGAGGCACTGCCTAGCTTGTGGGGCATCATTTGAGAGGATCCCATCTTCCCATAGTCTGAGATTTCTTCAGGAGACTCATCCTGAGGGTCTCAGAAGCCCTTTGTCTCACAGGTTTTGCTTTTAGATGGACTCAGGTTTACCAGGTAACATCCAGGCTTTACAAACTAGTGGATGAAGCACCGGAAAGGTCTAGTAGAAGATGAAGAGGCCCAAAACACACCTGACCATTGTTGTTTTCTTTTCTTTTTTATTTAAGATGAAATTCACATAACAGAAAATTATCTGTTTTAAAGTGTTCCAAGGCTGAAGATATAGCTCAATGACATAGTGTGCACTTTGCATGCCTGAGACGCTAGGTTCAATTCCTCGCACCAAAATTAATAATAAAATGTGCAATTGATTGGAATTGAGTACATTTGCATTGCTGGGCAACCATCACCCCAAAAGAGAACTTATACCCATTAAGCAGTTACTCCCTGCTATTTGGGCAGTTTTTGTTGGTGGTGGTGGTGGTGGTGGTGTTATTATTGTTTCTTTCCTCAGCCAGCTCCTGACAACCACTAATCTGCTTTCTGTCTCCATGATTTACCCATTCTGGATATTTCATATAAAGGAAATCACCATGTAGCGTGATCTTTGATGAACCATTGTTTTTATAGGAGCCCAGTCCCCCCACAAGGCTGCTGCTGTCTTTTGCCAGGATCAGGAAATAAATTTTCTAAATAACCAGAATGAATGAAAACTCCCTGCTTAAATTAATAGTGAAAATATCCCACAGAAGTTCTTTCCAGGCCCTAGGTAACCTCTCTATTTTCTCCAGAGCACAGTGCTAACGTGTTGAAATGGATGCTGCCCTTCAGCATGAACAGGCACCAAGAGGAGCGAGCATGGAAGGGCCAAAGGCCTCCACAGGCCACTGGGGACCCAGGCCCAGGTGGACAGCAGCTCCAAGAGCTGGGTCCTGTGCAGGTCAAGTGTGGCCACCATTCTGGGGGCTGCTGAAAGGCCCTGGCCCTCCATGCATAGTGCCAGCTCTCATGAGCATCTAAGGAGCTCACTGTCTCTGCCGCACTTCGTGTGTGTGGTTCAGGAAAACCCAAGTTCATCTGCCAAGTTCAGGATACAATTCTGACTGTTCCGGGCTTTTCTTTCTGCCTTTCCCTAATCTCGAATGGGCGTGCTCTCTAAAAGGGGAAGTGATGCATTCTGACTGGCCAGGGCCCACAGCCGGGAGCCAGGAAATGTCTACTAGCACGAGTAGCGCTGCCCAGCGTGGCACTGGCTCAGCCTCCTTATCCAAGGCTGCTTCCCCGGGATGTGTAAGTGTGAGCTCAGGGCATGATCGCCACCCAGGACGGCATGGGGCTGGGCACAGGTCACAGAAGAGAGAGCTCGGCAGGCTGAGCGTGCTGGTAGCCCACGATGCATATAACGAGCTGGGTTCAGCATAGTGCTCTTTACTCTGTGGCAGGAGCTGGAGTGGAGACAGGGTTGAGGCATGCAGTGGGGAGAGCAGCCACCTCAGAAAGAGGTTGGGAGTAGGAGGTGGGGCCGGGGACCCTACTGTTTGGGACAGCCCTTCTGGAGGCACAAGCCTCGGGTCTGGAAAGGACTGGAGTTGAAAATTTTATAGCACATCTTTCAGGACAGGGAAGCCAGCTACAGTGAGCCCTACCAACTCGTCTCCCCCACCTCTCAGCATTTATGTGCAGCTCAAATGATACTTTTTGCCTTTTATATACTCAGCGGTCGCTTTTCTTTGCCATTTTATATGCAATTTGTGTTAAAGAAATGTTTCAGGTCCTTTCCACTCAAATTATATAAGCGGCTTGTAACTAGTGACCTGTGTCTTTCCTTCTTTGCTATTCATGGATGATTTTGGGTCCAGTGTGTGCACACAGTGGGTCCTGAATAAACCGTGGTGGCTGGCCTATTGGCGTACTGACTGGCTCACTAGGATGATTGGCAGTGCATCTGGCCTGGTTTCTAACTAGAGTTTTATTTCCTGTGTGCCCATGGAGAAATAAAGGGGAAAAGTCACACACACACACACACACGCACACACACACACACACACATGCATGCACATCACAGCTCTTCACTGAATGCCACAGGGAGTGACTGACAGTAAAAAGACAGATCTTTGTTATGTTTTAGGCCCCTTTCTCCTGTATCTATTTTTTTGTTTGTTTGTTTGTATAGCAGTGATAGTTGAACTTAAATCATGTAAAAAGTTTGGTTTTCACCAAAACAATTCAGAACTTTTGCTTCTAAAGAAGGGGGACGTGGGGGGCGTGTGTGTCTCTGCACACATATGTTGACAGGGCACAACCACACCCTACTTCAAGACAACTTCCTGTTTGCCACTGCCAACTGCCACTCCAAGGAGAACAGAAATGGTTCCGTTAGTGGCTGCTGCAGGACCACAGCAGCCTGTGGGGTGAGCGCCGTGAGTTTAGCAATGAGCAGGACTTTGTACCTTCTATTGTAGGTGACCTGGACCCTGTGCTGACCAAATTGAAAGTTGGTCCAGACAGAAATAAGGTGGTGATGGCCTCTCCTCCTCAGCCTATGTTCCTCAGCACTGTGCCTCACGGGATTCTTGTAAATGGAAAATTTTAAACTCAGGGGCAAAGAGAAGGCTGCAGTCTGCTTCCTTGGGAGAGCTACTACCTGTGATTTTTTTTTTTTTCTTTATCCACCTTTTCATGATTTCGGGAACTTGTGTTCCCTACTCCGAGGTGGCACTGTGGTAGCCGCCTTCCCCGTACTTCAATCCTTCCAACATTGATTTAGCTAACAATGAATATGGGGGGGGGGCACTTAGTAGAGTTACACTGCCAGGGCTAGAAGTGTCGACAGAGCTTTGCCCTCAAGGTGTGTCCAGGTGTAGGACATCTAGGGGAGTAAACCAGCAGTTACAGCATATGATGTGTGCTAAGAGTGGGGGACTCAATGCACCCTAGGCGACCTGCCCAGTTGGTGAGCTATGGTTATGCCCAGTGGCTATTGTTGTTCCCCTTTTGTAAGTAAAGATACCTGGGGCTCAGGGGGTTAAGTTGCTTGCTGAAGTCACAGAGCTAATGAGTGACAGAGCTGGGATTTGAGCCCAGATCTTTCTGAGTCCTGGTGTTTCGTCCATGTTTCCAGTGATTCCCAAAGCTGACGGAACATGACCATCACCTCAGGACCTTTTTTTAAAAAATACAGATTTGAGAGCAGTGGCCCTCCTGTCTCAAGAGTGAAGGAGTCCCTACTGTACTGGGTAGGCCGTGACATGTCCATGTGGCCTGGGCACTTTCCCTCCCTCCTGTTCCAGGAAGTTTTCTCCACAAGGCATGGAAAAGGCCTGCCTGTGCCAGAGATGGAGCTTTTGTGTGTAGCCCGAGGCACCTGGGTAAAGGCCACTGGGTAAAGTGCCCCAAGACAGTGCGGGGAAGAGACAGCTAGCTGTGCAGGTGTTTTAGACCCCAAGAATGCCAGGTCATGGTCGTCTCCTCAAAGGCACCCTGGCCTGTGCCTTCCATTTTGCCCAGTGTCCAGCTGCACCTGTTCCTTCAGTGGCCCTGGGGTAGGGATCATGTCAGCTGTGCCATCTTAAGGTGGACTCCAACAATTTATGAGAGAACTGGAAGTCTCCAATTTTCAATGAAGCTTGTGGTGACTCCCATGTAAACTCATGTGACCCATGCATCATACGTGTTTGAAGGATTGTGGAGAGAGGTTACCCTGACGACGGGAAGGGTTGATCTGCAGGTGGAGCGCCTTGCCAACCCCCCATACCCCAATGGGCCCAAACACAGGAGAACAGCTGAGACAATGTTAGGAGAGAATCACAGCTCTGGCTGCAGGCGGAGACCTCAGACCAGAGAGGGTTGTGTACCCTCTTGGGTCCTTTAAGCAGCAACTGTCTTCTGAGGGGCAAGTCTCTGCTCCAGTCACTCCGGGTGATGAATGTGATGGCCAGCCTAGGACCTAGGGTACCGTCCTGACCCCGAGGGAACCCTTTGGTTTCAAGGTCTAGCAATGACAATGTCTATCTTATTACAGCTGTGACAACCCACTGCTTATATCCCAGGACCTGGCACATGATAGGTGCCAAGGAAATACTTTTTTTTTAGAATGAGTGAATGAGGTTTGACTTTCATGTTTTTCTCTTCTTCCAACCTTTCTATTGGTACCTGTTTTCTCTCCTTGGCTTCTGCTGTTGGTGGTGTTTGTCTGTTTTTCATCTTTTTTCCGTGTGTGGACCTAAATGGCTTTAACAAAAGCAAAGTCTATTGTTAAGTAATCCATCCCATACTTCCTTTTTTGCCTCATCCTCATACTCATGTTAATTTTTAAATAAGTAATTAGTGGTTACATAGTATTTGTGGTATTTTTCATTTTCTTGTGGATTGGGTGTGTTGTTTGGCTTAATATTTCCTTAGGTTGAGATAACCCTCATACCTGTCATTTTCAGTTGTCGTATTATAGATCATTCAAGTCATTTGTAGTATTTTTTATTACTATAAACAGTGCTACTGAAAATATCTTTGAATTTTTTTCTTTTATGATATTTCCTTTAGGTCTACTTTTCAAACTAACATTACCAGATTACCAGATCAAAGGCTGCAAATGCCTTTTAGCTCCTGTTATTATCACCAGGGTACTCTCCAGAAAAATGTAATCCCTTAAAAGTACCCAGGCAATGTGTACATGGGCTTGTTTCTTGTGGGGTTTCCTTCTAGCCAGGCTTGGCATCTGCTGAAGGCACCCTTGGCGGCTGAGAGAAATACTTCAGGCACTGGAAAATCCCTGGGACTCCCCAGATCCTACCCAACAGGGACTAGTGTCAAAATTTTGCACCTTGGTATCAATGACAAATAGAAGAGCAAGTAGGAGGAGAAATGCTCCCCAGGAGCGGAGAGATAAAGAGGATCTTATAGTTTGATCAGACTGCACAGATATATCCAAGAGCAGTTTTGAAATGGAAAATTCTTTTTGCAGACCCGTCAGGAGGAGTTGACTTTCTAAACTGTGGAGAGAAGGGAACATTCTAGGCACAGTGGCATGAAGGAAAAGGCATTAACCTTGGAGCCGGGGAATCCTGGGCTTTCCTCCCAGATGCTGATGGCTGTTAACCTTGGTCTTGTTTCATAATCTTGCTAAGCTTCAGTTGCCCTGTCTGTAACAAGGAGGCTGGCAGGATCAGATCACCTTGTGCAGTTGTTGGGTAGATTATGTGAGCTGGTGGGTGGAAAGGAATTTTCACAGAGCCTGACACATGGCAGGCATTCAAGAACCTGGGGATGGGGGTGATCAGATGACCAAGAAACCAACCTGGGACACGGGAGGTTGGGGAACCGAGCTGGCATGAGCAGTGTGGGCCACTCTCCACTCACTGGTTTTTGTCAAATAACTTAGTACCCTAAATAGCTCATGTTGCCCCAGGGTAAAGAAGACCTAGTATAAGTCCCTTGGTGACACCCTCTGGTTGTTAGTTTTGTGAGACTGTGGCTTGAACCCAGAGGCCCTCTACCACTGAACTACATCCCCAGCCCTTTTTATTTTTTATTTTGAGACAAAGTCTCACTAAGTTGTCCAGGCTGGCCTCAAACATGTGATCCTCCTGTGTCAGCCTCCTGAGCTGTCGGGATTACAGGCATGGGCCACAGCACCCAACCAGGTACCCATTCTTTGAGGAACACCTCCCCAGCTATTCAGGTCCTGAGATCTTTTAAGGAAGAGGGAGCAGAAATCCCTCACAGGAATCCCTGGCACAGGAAGTGCTTGGTTCTGCCTGCCACTCACTGCCTGCCTCCGTTCCTTGGTTTTCCTGTGTCGTCTTCTCCCCATCTGCTGAGGCAAGCCCATTCCATATCCCCCTGCAGCTACCATGGGGCTATATTTAGTGCCTAACTAGGATTGTAGCAAGTGGGACCATTGGCCCAGATTCGTCGAGCCCCAACTCTCCACTGTGCAGCCTTGAGACGTTGGCAAGTCTCTCGAAAGCAGTCTGCCTGTTTCCACAGCTGCCAACTGAGGGAACGTCTGCCTTGCCTGCCTTGCAAGGCAGTTGTAAGGTACAGCTAACATGGCTCCCTCTCTCCCCTCCAATTCCAGTTTCCTTTTGGAAGAAGGGCCCTTGGGATTCAAGGTTGTCCTTTAGGGGAAGCATCCTGACTGCGGTTACTAAAGCAGAGAGCATCCACTGATGAAGTGGAACTTGGCTCATGACTCGCCAAGCACTTGCCCTGGGTGGGGGTGCAAGGAGACTTGGCACTGTCAACTGAGTAAGCCAGCTGCTGGCCTTACCTCAGGTTTGCTTTCACAGCCA